GACTGTTAAGGCGATACGGCGGGGGGGGGGGGGGTCTTTGTGTGTTGAACTTCTATCGCACCGTACGTAGCCAACCGTGCTAGTCGGAGGTGCGGGGAGGGAGGGGGGGGGGAAGGACGACAAACTAAACAACAACAAGAAGCAGTTCTAAAGAAATTAGTTTTCAATCTAGAAATTGGTTTTCACTCCAGCGTGTAGTGGTAATGGCGTCGGCGATGTTGGTGGTGGTGGTGGTGTAGATGGTGGTGGTGTAGATGGTGATGGTGGTGGTGTAGGTCAGGGGTCACCAAACTTTTTTCACAGCGGGCCGGATAACTGATAGAATGACGATCGCGGGCCGCATAAACATTCTGTTCAATACTTGGGGGCGGGAAAGATGCGTGTTTGTGTGTTTGTGTGTGTTGCCATGGAAACCAAGGTAACGTGTTGCCATGACGTTGCCATGGAAACCATGGTAACGTCAGAGCGTAGGCGGAGCTACCACGAGCCGGGGAAGTACTTGGGATGGCGTGAAATAAGCAAACAGAATAAACGAGAAAATCTAGATACAATAATTTACAATTTAAAATAGTAAATTTAAGGCACATAGCAGTGAGGAGGCCTCCGCACGCGTGAAGATCTCCTCATATTCTAAACATAATATTTAAATTGTATCACAACGTCTCGTGTTCCATACGTTTTATCAACCAGATTCAAGTACCGTCGGCGGGCCTGATGGACTGACGTCGCGGGCCGGATCCGGCCCGCGGGCCGTAGTTTGGTGACCCCTGGTGTAGATGGTGGTGGTGTAGATGGTGGTGGTGTAGATGGTGGTGGTGGTGGTGTAGATGGTGGTGGTGTAGATGGTTGTGGTGGTGGTGGTGTAGATGGTGGTGGTGGTGGTGTAGATGGTGGTGGTGGTGGTGGTGTAGATGGTGGTGGTGTAGATGGTGGTGGTGGTGGTGGTGTAGATGGTGGTGGTGTAGATGGTGGTGGTGGTGTAGATGGTGGCTACGTACGTACGTAAAACTTCTTCCGCACCGCACTTATTGCCGACCGCGCTAATCGGAGGAGCGGGGCGGGGGGGGGGAGGTGGAAGGACGACAACAAACTAAAAACACACCCCCACCCCTACCCCAACCTCCAAATGACCGATTAACCCCCCAAAAAAACACATTTGGGTCTAATGTATACGTATTTTTTTATGATTAAAGTATATATCATGTGGATGAGTTGTCATCGTCGCGGTGTTTCTGTTGAAGGGAAGGCGACCCTCCCTGGTTTGGGGTCGCTGCGGCTCGGATCGGCGCCGGGAGCCTGGGTTCGAATCCGGGTTTGAGCCGCGTAGCCACAGACCCATAGACTCGCATAGAGACCCATAGACACACACAGACCCATGGACTCGCATAGAGACCCATAGACACACACAGACCCATGGACTTGCATAGAGAACCATTCACTCACACATAGACCCATAGACACACAGACCCATAGACTCGCATAGAGACCCATAGACACACACAGACCCATAGACTCGCATAGAGACCCATAGACACACACAGACCCATAGACTCGCATACAGACCCATGGACTCGCATAGAGACCCATAGACACACACAGACCCATGGACTTGCATAGAGAACCATTCACTCACACATAGACCCATAGACACACACAGACCCATAGACTCGCATAGAGACCCATAGACACACAGACCCATAGACACATATAAACCCATAGACTCACACATAAACCCATAGACCTGCACATAAACCTGTAGACTCACACATAGACCCATAGACTCACACATAAACCTGTAGACTCACACATAGACCCATAGACTCACACAGACCCATAGACTCGCATAGAGACCCATAGACACACACAGACCCATGGACTTGCATAGAGACCCATAGACACACACAGACCCATAGACACATATAAACCCATAGACTCACACATAAACCCATAGACCCGCACATAAACCTGTAGACTCACACATAGACCCATAGACTCACACATAAACCTGTAGATTCACACATAGAGCCATAGACTCACACAGACCCATAGACTCGCATAGAGACCCATAGACACACAGACCCATGGACTCGCATAGAGACCCATAGACACACAGACCCATGGACTTGCATAGAGAACCATTCACTCACACATAGACCCATAGACACACAGACCCATAGACTCATATAAACCCATAGACTCACACATAAACCCATAGACCCGCACATAAACCTGTAGACTCACACATAGACTCATAGACTCACACATAAATCTGTAGACCCACACATAGACCCATAGACTCACACAGACCCATAGACTCACACAGACCCATAGACTCACACAAACCCATAGACTTGCACAAACCCATAGACTCGCACAAACCCATAGACTCGCACAAACCCATACTCACACAAACCCATAGACCCACACATAGACCCATAGACTCACATATACCCATAGACTCGCACGTAGACCCATAGACTCACACGTAAACCGATAGACACACACATAGACCCATAGACTCACATAAACCTATAGACTCACACAGACCCATAGACTCACATAAACCCATAGACACACACATAGCCCTGTAGACTTACACAGACCCATAGACTTGCATAGAGACCCATAGACTCACGAAACAACACAGCCTCACACACAGACCCATAGACTCGCACATAAACCCATAGACTCACACATAAACCCACAGACTCACACATAAACCCACAGACTCACACATAAACCCATAGACTCGCACATAAACCCATAGACTCGCACATATACCCATAGACTCACACAGACACCCATGGGCGCACATGAGACTCGTACAGAGAGACGTCGTCAGGAGGCAAGTTTATATTTATTTTCTTGTGCGAGCGTTTAGTAAACAACAGTTGTGTCCAGTGTTTGAGAGTCGGGTATTTTGCGGTGACAACGCGAATGGCCAAGCCCACGGCGAGGGGGGGTAATGGGGAGTCCAGTTTACCATGGAAGTCCAGTTCACCATGGGAGTCCAGTTTACCATGGAAGTCCAGTTCACCGTGTGAGTCCAGTTCACCGTGTGAGTCCGGTTTACCATGGAAGTCCAGTTCACCATGGAAGTCCAGTTCACCGTGGGAGTCCAGTTCACCATGGGAGTCCAGTTCACCGTGTGAGTCCAGTTCACCGTGTGAGTCCAGTTCATCATGTGAGTCCAGTTCACCATGGAAGTGCAGTTCATCATCTGAGTCCAGTTCACCGTGGGAGTCCAGTTCACTGTGGGAGTCCAATCGTCGGAAGCACAAATTGAGCACAGGCACGTTCAGTCACAAACTCGCTTCGTTTCATCGATGCCCCCACGTAAGTTAAATCTTGATTTAAAGCTTTGGTGAATGCAGTGACGGCCGCTGGTGTTGCGATCGAAACGTCGTGTTTTAAAACGAGCGAGGGGGTCTTGCAACACGAGCAGTAGCACGTGCTTTGTACTGCCGAGCGTCACGTGATCACGCAACTGACGTACGGAGTGCTTTGATATACGGAGTGCTTTGGATTACAAACACGTTTCCGGGAACGAATTGTGCTCGCAAATCCAAGGTTTTGCACCGTACTTATTTTGTACTACCCGCACATGTCCAGTGGGGTTCATCAGACGCGCTGTCCAGCCGCTCGCAGATGTCCAGTAAGGGAATGAAAAGGAACGAATCCGCCCAGCTGACCGTCCTGCGCTGAGTTTGGGACAGGGACTCCTCGCACTTAGCGAATGGGTTGGGTTCCAGAGGTTTGTGTTCGTGAGTACAACTTCACTCCCGTCGATTCCAAACGCGTTGTATGGCATGTAAACTTAAACATGGCGAATGGCTTTAAAAGTTTATTATCTCCTGTAGATGCCACTGGTTCTTCATGTTCTGCAGATGTAGATGCCACTGGTTCTTCACGTTCTGCAGATGTAGATGCCACTGGTTCTTCACGTTCTGCAGATGTAGATGCCACTGGTTCTTCACGTTCTGCAGATGTAGATGCCACTGGTTGTTCACGCTCTCCAGACATAGATGCCACTGGTTCTTCACGTTCTGTAGACGTAGATGCCACTGGTTCTTCATGTTCTGTAGATGCCACTGGTTCTTTGCATTCTGCAGGTGTAGATGCCACTGGTTCTTCACGTTCTGCAGGTGTAGATGCCACTGGTTCTTCATGTTCTGTAGATGCCACTGGTTCTTCATGTTCTGTAGATGCCACCGGTTCTTCACGTTCTGCAGATGTAGATGCCACTGGTTCTTCACGTTCTGCAGATGTAGATGCCACTGGTTCTTCACGTTCTGCAGACGTAGATGCCACTGGTTCTTCACGTTCTGCAGATGTAGATGCCACTGATTCTTCACGTTCTGCAGATGTAGGTGCCACTGGTTCTTCACGTTCTGCAGATGTAAATGCCACTGGTTCTTCACGTTCTGTAGACGTAGATGCCACTGGTTCTTCATGTTCTGCAGATGTAGATGCCACTGGTTCTTCACGTTCTGCAGATGTAGATGCCACTGGTTGTTCACGCTCTCCAGACGTAGATGCCACTGGTTCTTCATGTTCTGTAGATGCCACCGGTTCTTCACGTTCTGCAGATGTAGATGCCACCGTTTCTTCATGTTCTGCAGATGTAGATGCCACTGGTTCTTCACGTTCTGCAGATGTAGGTGCCACTGGTTCTTCACGTTCTACAGATGTAAATGCCACTGGTTCTTCACGTTCTGCAGATGTAGATGCCACTGGTTCTTCACGTTCTGCAGATGTAGATGCTACTGGTTCTTCACGTTCTGCAGATGTAGATGCCACTGGTTCTTCACGTTCTGCAGATGTAGATGCCACTGGTTCTTCACATTCTGCAGATGTAAATGCCACTGGTTCTTCACGTTCTGCAGACGTAGATGCAACTGGTTCTTCATGTTCTGCAGATGTAGATGCCACTGGTTCTTCACGTTCTGCAGATGTAGATGCCACTGGTTCTTCATGTTCTGCAGGTGTAGATGCCACTGGTTCTTTATGTTCTGTAGACGTAGATGCCACTGGTTCTTCACGTTCTGCAGATGTAGATGCCACTGGTTCTTCACGTTCTGCAGACGTAGGTGCCACCACTGCCACCGATTTGCACGGCGGTTGAACTGACGAACTCTCGGCCCGAACAGCCAACTGGACATGCGGGATTACATGTCTGTTCGTATCTCTCAAAGTTCCTTTGTCGAATTTTTCCTAAGTAGAGGAGTCCCGCTACCGACAGACTTCCCCCAACCGACCAACCGACCGACCGACCGACTGACCGACCGACCCCGTCGTGCGACCAGGCCAACCGACCCCACTGGCTGACCCCGCTGGCTGACCCCGGGGGCGCCCGCCGGTCACCACGGCCGCGTGTCGCGGTACACGTTCTTGAGCCGCACCCACTCGGCCCCACCCCGGGCGCCGGCCGCCCCCCTCACCGTCCACGAGTCGGCGCGTTCCCGCAGCAACGGCCGCGGCGGCGGCGGCGACAACGCCGCCGCTTCCTGCTGGCGCCGGTCGCCGCCCCGAACGGGCGTTCCCGCCCCGGCGCATGCAGAGAGGCTGGGCTGAACGGTCGTGGTGCATGCTGGGAGATTCACGGGGACCAAAGTGCATGCTGGGAAGGTCGGCTTGACCCCGGCGCACGCTGGGAGGAGCGACTGGACCGCCGCGATGCACGCCGGGAAACCCGACTGCGACGCAGAGGTGCATGCTGGGTAGCCGGTGCCGCCACCCTGACCCTGGGTGGTGGCCGCAAAGGACTGTGGGAGGTGATCGACCGAAGGTTGCAGCGGTGGGCGTCCAGTGAGGGGTGAGGGTGAGGAGGAGATGATGGGGGGCAGTGTGGCGTTGGCGGTGGTGGTGGCGGTGGTGGTCGCAGACCTGAGGGTTAAGAGTTGTTGGCACAAGTTAGTCAAGACAAAGATCCCCCCTGTAGCCTTTACAGACTGTTGGGGCAAGTGCTGTTTGTGAGTAGCAGCGCCTGTGAAGGCCGGCACGGCACACGAGGGGGTGGGTGGCCAGCACCACGCCCGGATAACCACCAATTGGCGGTGACGTTACCATGTCGGTTATGATACGCGATGTGCACTTTGAGGCCACGTGAAGTGTCGAAGGCTCGCTGGAAAGTCACACGCATACACCTACACACACACCTACACACGCACACGCCTACACACACCTACACACACCTACACACGCACACACCTACACACACACCTAAACACGCACACGCCTACACACTCATGCGCACACCTACACACGCACACACCTACACACACCTAAACACGCACACGCCTACACACTCATGCGCACACCTACACACGCACACACCTACACACACCTAAACACGCACACGCCTACACACTCATGCGCACACCTACACACGTACACACCTACACACACCTAAACACGCACACACCTACACACACACCTACACAACAACCGCCATTCGCCACTAAGTGGCGGTGACGTCACCACGACGCTTGTGCCAGGCTATGTGCACCCTGAGGCCACGTGAAGTGTCGAACGCCCGCTGGCAGGAGGTCACGGGGCAGACCCAGGTGCCACGGGTCGACTGACTGAGATGACTGGCTGATGCACCACCTGTGCCCCCTACTGTGCCAACCTGCTGTGCTTTAGCCACCCGGCGCTCCGCTCGTTGTTGTGAGTGTCGCTCCTCCGCCCTCCGTTGTTGTTGGAGGGCGACTGCCTCCAACTGCCCAGTAGCATCCTTCACGAGCCTCCTCCACAGAGGCCGATCTTGACACCGCTGGTACCAGTCATCGGCAAGTCCACTCAGCTCCACGTCCTCCTGTACCACATCACTCCATCTCTTCTCTAGCCCGTGCCGCGCCCGCTTTGCCCCCTCAATCCGGCCTGACAAAAGCTGTTTCGGCATGCGGTGGCTGGGCATGCGGGCTACATGACCCACCCATCGCAGCATTGTCCGCCCGAGGAGCTCACCGATGGGACCTTGCCCAGATCTTTCAAGGATTTGTGAGCTCCTCACACAATCCAGTCTGGTTAAACCCAGGATGGATCCTAGGCAGGCCAGCCTAAATGTTTCTAACCGGCGAAGATGTTCCATTAGGGGGGTCCACGTTTCGCAAGCGTAGAGAAGGGAGGGAATGACCGTGGCCGAGAAGACCTGAAGCTTAGTGCGGAGCGACAGACCAGGTAGCTTCCACATAGCGTTACGCAACCGATGAAAAGATATTGCCGCTCGACTGATTTGGAGTGAGACCTCTGCTGTTAAACTGGAGCCAGTCATAAGTACACTGCCCAGGTATGGGAAACTCTCCACTCTCTCCACAACTGCCCCATCACCGATCAGGAGTTGTGGGGGTGGAGTGTCCGATGGTACAAAATACCCAGGCAGGTGCTTAGTTTTGGTGGGGCTGATGGTAAGGCCCCACCTCTTAGTGGCACGCTCCAGTCTCAGCAGCAGCGTCTCCAACTCCTCCTCTAACTGAGCAGCTATTACCAAATCATCAGCATACATAACGTGGTTGAGCAATAGGGAGCCATCCCTTGACCGCACCCGGGCATCGATCAGCCTCCCATTATATCTGTACCATATGGAGATTCCCCCGGTACAGCTATTGAAGGCTTCACGAACTACGTGGTCAAAATAGATGTTAAATAATGTGGGAGCCAGAGGACATCCCTGTCGCACCCCAAGGTGTACAGGGAATGGCTCTGACTCCCGGCCACGTAGTTTTACCCGGGCCCGCTCACCATCATGAAGGTCCTTAATGATCGTGAGCAGAGGGTCAGGTACTCCAAAAGCACGAAGAACGACCCAGAGCCCAGGCCTACTGATGGTATCATAGGCCTTGACCAGGTCAATAAAGCAGAGATGTAGGTCTTGTTGGAATTCCCTACACCTCTGCTGTAGCAGACGGACAGAAAATATGGCATCTGTGCAGGACCGCCCTTTCCTGAAACCGCATTGGGGCTCCGCAAGCCTCTCCTCAGCGTGCCTGGCAAGGCGCTGCTGAATAATCCTTGCCAGGACCTTTCCCGGCACACTGAGGAGTGAGATGCCCCTGTAGTTGTTACAGTCTGTGCGGGTCCCCCTTCTTAAAAAGGGGGACCACCAGGGCATCCTTCCAATCCTGCGGAACCCGTCCAGTGGTCCAGACTGTTATGATGTCATATAGGGCAGTCTGTGCACAAATGCCACCTTCCCTCAGCATTTCGCTTGGGAGATCATCTCTGCCCGCTGCCTTTCCTGGTCTCAGATTCCGGATCGCCTTCAGTACTTCCTCAACAGATGGCACCTCAGCCAGCCACTCACAGGGGGTGACTTCTTCCAATATTTGAGGCACCGCAGCCTCAGCAGGGTCATCCTCACTTTGTGCCACGATGTTTTCCTGGCTGAGGGATTTTCCCTCCCCCAGGACCTCACAGAAATGCTCAGCAAATCTGCAAACCTGTTCCTGGGGGTCGGAGATTGGATCACGGTTTTTTCCCCTAATGATGGTAATAGGTGTGGCGCTACAGGTTACTTTTTGATGGGGTTAAATAGAGATTTGTGATCACGGGCCACTGAGGCAGACTCCATCTCCTCAGCAACCCGCGACCACCACCCATCCTTGCAGCGCCTCACGGCTCTCCGAACCTCCGAGCGAAGGCTGCGGTAAGCCTCCTCATTCTCTGACGTGGGATTCTGTAGCCGATGGCAGTGGGCCTGTCGCTTTTTCTCAACCATCCTGAACACCTCCTCTGTCAGCCAGAGTCTCTGGGGAGGTCTGAACCGCGTACCCAAAGCAGCCATTGCAGCTGCATGAGTCACAGTCCTAAACCTTGCCCATTTACCCTCGACATCAGAAGGAGTCGGGGACGATGCCAATCCCAGCCGCAAGCGATGATGAAATTCTCGCTTGCAACTTTCATCAGATAACTGAGACCAGGCCACTTTAGGTCGGAATGGGGTCCTGGGTGTACACCCACCACCGGAGTGGAAGAATGGCAGGCGCATCTTACAGATGACTAGTCGATGGTCAGAGGGCAGATCAGCTCCACGGTAGGTCCTGGTGTCAACGACATGGGCTCGCATCCGCTGGTCCGTCACTATGTAGTCCAGCAGATGTTCTTGCTTGGACCCGGCATGCATCCATGATGTTGTGTGGATGCGCCGATGCCGGAACAGCGTGTTGGTAATTACAAGCCCATGGGCTGCACAAAAATCTAGCAGCCTCCTACCGTTGTTATTGAGCTGATCTGGCCCATGCCCGCCAATCACTCCAGACCAGGTGCCAGTATCATGACCAACTCGGGCATTGAAGTCACCCAACATGATGACTCTATCCCGAGGGGCCACTTTAGCCAGCACCTGTGACAGGAGGTCATAGAAGGCATCTGACTCATCGGCTTTGCCTGCATCCCTCCACGGATGTTCATCTTCGGTGGGGGCATAAGTAACCACGACCACCATTCCTCGCACACACACCTACACACCTACAAACACACACACCTACACACCTACACACACACACCTGCACACACACACACCTACACACACACCTACACCTACACACACACCTACACACACACCTACACCTACACACACACCTACACACACCTACACACACACCTACACACACACACACACCTACACACACACACACACCTACACACATACACCTACACACACACACACCTACACACACACACCTACACACACACCTACACACACACACCTACACATACACACACCTACACACACACACCTACACACACCTACACACACACACCTACACACACACACCTACACACACACACACCTACACACCTACACACACCTACACACACACACACACCTACACACACACACCTACACACACACCTACACACACATCTACACACACACACATCTACACACACACACACCTACACACACACACACACCTACACACACACACACCTACACACACACACACACCTACACACACACACACCTGCACGCTCCCGTCGCCGCCGCTTTCAGGCCGCCGAAGTCCCACGCGGAGAGGGAGGAAGTGGGAGGCGCTGCCCTCCGCTGACGCCTCGCCGCCACCACCACCTCCTCCACCTCCTCCACCTCCACCTCCTCGTCGTCGTCCTCCTTGTCGCGCACCAGCGGCAACGCAGCGGGCAAGCCCTGCTGATGACTCGGCTGTTGCTGAAGCTGCTGCCGCTGCTGCTCCTGCTGCTGCTGCTGATGTTGCTGCTGCTGATGTTGCTGCTGCTGCCGCTGATGCTGCTGCTGATGTTGCTGCTGCTGATGATGTTGCTGCTGCTGCTGATGATGTTGCTGCTGCTGCTGCTGATGATGTTGCTGCTGCTGATGATGATGATGCTGCTGATGATGCTGCTGATGATGCTGCTGATGATGATGTTGGGATGCGACGGGCCCCAGCGAGTTGGAGCGCGAGAGGCGTCGGGTAGGGCTTAGGCTCAGGGGCCAGGGCACGTCGGACGGCCCTGCGGATGCTGTGGGTCACAGGGCGAAGGCTCTCGGTGTCTGTCTCTGTGTCTCTGTGTCTCTGTGTCTGTCTCTGTGTCTCTGTGTCTGTCTCTGTGTCTGTGTCTCTATCTCTGTGTCTCTGTGTCTGTCTCTGTGTCTGTCTTTGTCTCAGTGTCTGTCTCTGTGTCCCTCTCTGTCTCTGTGTCTCTCTCTGTCTCTGTGTCTGTCTCTGTGTCTGTGTCTCTGTGTGTCTGTGTCTCTATCTCTGTGTCTCTGTGTCTCTCTCTGTCTCTGTCTCTGTGTCTCTCTCTGTCTCTGTGTGTCTGTGTCTCTATCTCTGTGTCTCTGTGTCTGTCTCTGTATCTGTCTCTGTGTCTGTCTCTGTGTCTCTCTCTGTGTCTCTGTGTCTCTCTCTGTCTCTCTGTGTCTCTCTCTGACTCTGTGTCTCTCTCTGTCTCTGCGTCTCTGAGTCTCTCTCTGACTCTGTGTCTCTCTCTGTCTCTGTGTCTCTGAGTATCTCTCTGTCTCTGTGTCTCTCTCTGTCTCTGTGTCTCTCTCTGTCTCTGTGTCTCTGTCTCTGTGTCTCTGTGTCTGTGTATCTGTCTCTCTGTGTCTGTCTCTGTATTTCTCTCTGTCTCTGTGTCTGTCTCTGTGTCTCTCTCTGTCTCTGTGTCTCTCTCTGTCTCTCCTCCGTCCCCTTCCGCTCTGCTCAATTCACACCGTCTCACTCTCGCTTTCTGTCTCCTTCTGTTCAATCCACGCTGTCTCTGTCTCTCTCTGTCTCTCTGTCTCTCCTCTGTCTCCTTCTGCTCAATCCACGCTGTTGCTGTGTCTCTCTGTGTCTCTCTGTCTCTCTGTGTCTCTCTGTCTCCTTCTGCTCAATCCACGCTGTCTCTGTCTCTCTCTGTCTCTCTGTGTCTCCTGTTCAATCCACGCTGTGTCTCTGTCTCTCTCTGTCTCTCTCTGTCTCTCTGTGTCTCCTTCTGCTCAATCCACTCTGTCTCTCTGTCTCTCTCTGTCTCTCTCTGTCTCTCTGTGTCTCCTTCTGCTCAATCCACTCTGTCTCTCTGTCTCTCCTCTGTCTCCTTCTGCTCAATCCACGCTGTTGCTGTGTCTCTCTCTGTCTCTCTGTCTCTCTGTGTCTCTCTGTCTCCTTCTGCTCAATCCACGCTGTCTCTGTCTCTCTCTGTCTCTCTGTGTCTCCTGCTCAATCCACGCTGTCTCTCTGTCTCTGTCTCTCTCTGTCTCTCTCTGTCTCTCTGTGTCTCCTTCTGCTCAATCCACTCTGTCTCTCTGTCTCTCCTCTGTCTCCTTCTGCTCAATCCACGCTGTTGCTGTCTCTCTCTGTCTCCTTACGCTCAATCCACGCTGCGTCTCTGTGTCTCCTTGCACTCAATCCACGCTCTCTCTCTGTCTCTCGCCCCACCAAACCCTTCACTGGAACGAACTTCCGCCCCTTCCACGTTCAGCGGTCAAACGTCGCTCGGTCAGTTTCCACTCCGCACTCAAGACTCACTTCCTGTTACACCACAACCCACAACCACCCCCCTCTTTAATCTCCCCCCTCATAACCGCAATCAACGTTATTGTTCCCTCTTCATATTCTCATTATCCGGGCTATCCCTCATTAACCCCCATTCATCCAATCATCATCATCATTTACCGTCATAACCATTCTTCTCATACAGCTATCACTCATTAACCCCCATTCACCCGATCCATTCATCATCCTCATTTACTGTTAGAATAATTATTACTCTCATTATCTGGGCTACCACTCATTCACCCCCGCCCCCCCCCCCCCAATTCATTCATCATTATTCACTGCCAGGATAATAATAATCATAATAATTTTAATTATTCTCATCGTAGCCCATCGCTCATTAACCCCCCCCCCCCCATTCACTCATTCCCATTCATCATCGTCATCATCGTCATCATCATCGTCATCATCATAATAATCTGACGATGAGCGCTGGAAGATAACCCAAGGTAACCGTACCCGACAGGCCGCGCGGGACACGGCCCGTGGCCTCCGCAGGCGACGCGCCGGGCGAGCCTGGCGTCCGCTTGGGGCCCCGGCCGCCGTGAGGCCGCGGCAGGGCCAAGGATCTCTCGTCCACGCCCAGGGTGGAGGGCCTCGGCACTGCGCACAAAGCACAAACGAGGTGTCCCACTCCACCCCACCACCACCACCACCCCCCGTGTGTAGACTTAAACTGCACTATTTGGGGGGCACATTGCAGTGAGCTGTCAGCGGGCAAAGACAAAGCTCCTGCCCCCCCCCCCCCCCCCCCGTGTAGCCTTTAACAGGCTGTTCGGGGCAAGAGGCCGTGAGCTGTTAGCAAGCAAAGACAAAGCTCCCCCGTGTAGCCTTTAACAGGCTGTTCGGGGCAAGTGCCGTGAGCGGTTAGCAAGCAAAGACAAAGCTCCCCCGTGTAGCCTTTAACAGGCTGTTCGGGGCAAGTGCCGTGAGCTGTTAGCAAGCAAAGACAAAGCTATTAAAGCTTCCGTGACCGCATAAAATTACTCATTGGTTTTTTCGGTAAAGTCACGTATGTAGAAATACAATAAAATTATATTAAATTAAAACAAAAGCTCCCCCGTGTAGCCTTTAACAGATTGTTCGAGGGCAAGTGCTGTGAGCTGTTAGCAAGCAAAGCTCCCCCGTGTAGCCTTTAACAGGCTGTTCGGGGAAAGTGCCGTGAGCTGTTAGCGGGCAAAGATAAAGCTCCCCCGTGTAGCCTTTAACAGGCTGTTCGGGGAAAGTGCTGTGAGCTGTCAGCGGGCAAAGACAAAGCTCCCCCGTGTAGCCTTTAACAGGCTGTTCGGGGCAAGTGCTGTCAGCTGTCAGCAGGCAAAGACAAAGCTCCCCCGTGTAGCCTTTAACAGGCTGTTCGGGGCAAGTGCTGTCAGCTGTCAGCGGGCAAAGACAAAGCTCCCCCGTGTAGCCTTTAACAGGCTGTTCGGGGCAAGTGCTGTGAGCTGTCAGCGGGCAAAGATAAAGCTCTCCCGTGTAGCCTTTAACAGGCTGTTCGGGGCAAGTGCTGTGAGCTGTTAGCGGGCAAAGATAAAGCTCCCCCGTGTAGCCTTTAACAGGCTGTTCGGGGCAAGTGCCGTGAGCTGTTAGCGGGCAAAGACAAAGCTCCCCCGTGTAGCCCAACACCGGATCGCTCACCTGTGCGATTTTGGAAAAATCCTTCAAACACGACGAAGTTGTTCACCTGCAAACACAGAGCATGGGTTAGTCCACCACGGTCGAGTCGTCCTGCAGGTAGGGGTACACGGGGTAGGGGTACACGGGGTAGGGGTACCCGGGGTAGGGGTACACGGGGTAGGGGTACACGGGGTAGGGGTGCACGGGGTAGGGGTGCACGGGGTAGGGGTACACGGGGTAGGGGTGCACGGGGTAGGGGTGCACGGGGTAGGGGTACACGGGGTAGGGGTACACGGGGTAGGGGTGCACGGGGTAGGGGTACACGGGGTAGGGGTGCACGGGGTAGGGGTACATGACACGCCACGTGTACATCCAGGCGGGTGTGGTGCTGGCCACTGTGCAGACCTTTCATAGGTGCTGCTCAGCTGCACGGGGGGGTCTTCGTGCGTGCGCGTGTGTCTGTGCGTGTGTGTGCGTGTGTGTGTGCGCGTGTGTGTGCGCGTGTGTCTGTGCGTGTGTGTGCGCGTGTGTCTGTGCGTGTGTGTGCGCGTGCGTGCGCGCGTGTGCATGTCTGTGCGTGTGCGCGCGTGTGCATGTCTGTGCGTGTTCGTGCGTGTGTGCGTGTGTGTCTGCGTGCGTGTGTTTGTGCGTGCGTGTGCGTGCGTGTGCGTGTGTGTGTGCGTGCGTGTGCGTACGTGCGCGTGTGTGTGCGTGTGTGTGCGTGCGTGTGCGTGTGTGTGCGTGCGTGTGCGTGTGTGTGTGTGCGTGCACGTGTCTGTGCGTGTGCGTGCGTGCGTGTGTTCGTGCGTGTGTGCGTGCACGTGTGTGCGTGCGCGTGCGTGCGTGCGTGCGTGCGTGTGTGTGCGTGTGCGTGCACGTGTGTGTGCGTGTGTGTGTGCGTGCACGTGTCTGTGCGTGCGCGTGCGTGCGTGTGTGCGTGCGTGTGTGTGCGTGACACCTGAGGTAGCGTCTTGACGAGGCCGTAGTGCTTCCTGAGGAAGGCCAGGAGTTTGGGAGAAGGCCGATCGATGGCCAAGTGCTGTGGCTGGACTCCCTCCCTCTGCAACAAAGACAAAGATCCCCCGTGTAGCCTTAACGGACTGTTGGGGGCAAGTGCCGTTAGCGAGCAGCAGCACCTGTTGTGAAGGCTACCGGCACCGTGGCACACACGAGGTGGTGGGTGGCCAGCGCCACGCCCGACCGCCTTTGTCTCCCCAGTGGCGATATTTACTACACACACCGTACCAGGTACTCATTTGAGGCTGAATCGACCTAGGGGAGGCCCAGCACCGGTTCAGATACTCGTCACCAGGGGTGTTGGCCGTGAGCAGGGATTGAACCCGGGTGGCCAGGTTCGCAGCGCAGCGTAGCGCTAACCGCTGCACCACCGCTCCCCAATGCACAAAGACAAAGATCCCCCGTATAGCCTTAACAGACTGTAGGGGCAAGTGCTGTTAGCGAGCACCTATGAAGGCCGGAACGGTACACGAGGTGGTGGGTGGCCAGCGCCACGCCCGGCCGCCTTTGTCTCCCCAGCGGCGATGATTTTTTTTTATTAAACACACCGCACCGGGTAGGCGTTTGGGGGCGCGTCGACCAAGGGGAGGCCCAGGACCGATTCCGTGAGCGGGAATCGAACTCGGGAGGGGCCGGGTTTGTAGCGCAGCGCACTGCCGTTCCCCATGTGTGTGTACAGTGTTACGCACGTTGAACGTGTGTGTGTGTGTGTGCGTGTGTGTGCGTGTGTGTGCGTGTGTGCGCGTGTGTGCGTGCGTATGTGCGCGTGTGTGCGCGTGTGTGCGCGTGTGTGCGCGTGTGTGTGCGTGTGTGTGCGTGTGTGCGCGTGTGTGTGCGCGCGTGTGTGTGGGGAGCGATAGTGTAGCGGTTAGCGCGCTGCGCTATGAACCCGGCGACTCGAGTTCGATTCCCGCTCACGGCCAACACCCAGTGCCGATTATCTGAACCGGTCCCGGGGCCTCCCCTAGGTCGACTCAGCCTCAAATGAGTACCTGGTGCGGTGTGTAAACATTGCCACTAGGGAGACAAAGGCGGTCGGGCGTGGTTGCTGGCCACCCACCCCCTCGTGTACCAATCCGGCCTTCATAGGTGCTGCTCGCTAACAGCACTTGCCCCTACAGTCTGTTAAGGCTATACGGGGGATCTTTGTTTTTTTTGTGTGTGTGCGCGTGTGTGCGCGTTCATACGATCACCCTGAGCATGTGGTTGAAGATCTCGCGCCCGTGGCCGTGTCTCTGGACGTTCTCGTGCACGTAGAAATCGAGCACGCACAGCGGATCCAGCTCGTTGTGTCTCCCCTTGTGATCCTAGACGCACGTGCGACACACGCCGAGACAGACAGACACCGAGACAGACAGACACCGAGACAGAGACAGACACAGACACTGAGACAGACACTGAGACACAGAGACACACACACAGACACAGAGACAGAGACACACACAGAGACAGAGACAGACACTGAGACAGAGACACACACAGAGACAGACAAAGAGACAGAGACAGACACTGAGACAGACAAAGAAACAGAGACAGACACAGAGACAGACACAGACACCGAGATAGACACAGAGACACACACAGAGACAGACAAAGAGACAGAGACAGACACTGAGACAGACAGACACCGAGACAGACACACACCGAGACACACACAGAGACACCGAGACACACACACAGACACCGAGACACACACAGAGACACCAAGACACACACTGAGACACACACTGAGACACACTGAGACACCGAGACACACACTGAGACACCGAGACACTCTGAGACACCGAGACACACACTGAGACACACACCGAGACACACACTGAGGCACACTGAGACACCGAGACACACACTGAGACACACACTGAGACACCGAGACACACTGAGACACCGAGACACACACTGAGACACACACTGAGACACCGAGACACACACCGAGACACACACTGAGACACACTGAGACACCGAGACACACACTGAGACACACACTGAGACAGACACCGAGACACACACTGAGACACACACTGAGACACCGAGACACACACTGAGACACAGACACCGAGACACACACTGAGACACACACCGAGACACACACTGAGACACACTGAGACACCGAGACACACACTGAGACACAGACACCGAGACACACACTGAGACACACTGAGACACCGAGACACACTGAGACACCGAGACACACACCGAGACACACACCGAGACACACACTGAGACACACACCGAGACACACACCGAGACACACACTGAGACACACTGAGACAGACACCGAGACACACACCGAGACACACACTGAGACACACTGAGACAGACACCGAGACACACACTGAGACACACACTGAGACACCGAGACACACACCGAGACACACACTGAGACACACTGAGACACCGAGACACACACTGAGACACACACTGAGACAGACACCGAGACACACACTGAGACACACACTGAGACACCGAGACACACACTGAGACACAGACACCGAGACACACACTGAGACACACACCGAGACACACACTGAGACACACTGAGACACCGAGACACACACTGAGACACAGACACCGAGACACACACTGAGACACACTGAGACACCGAGACACACTGAGACACCGAGACACACACCGAGACACACACCGAGACACACACTGAGACACACACCGAGACACACACCGAGACACACACTGAGACACACTGAGACAGACACCGAGACACACACCGAGACACACACTGAGACACACTGAGACAGACACCGAGACACACACTGAGACACACACTGAGACACCGAGACACACACTGAGACACCGAGACACACTGAGACACCGAGACACACACTGAGACACAGACACTGAGACAGACACCGAGACACACACTGAGACACACACTGAGACACCGAGACACACACTGAGACACCGAGACAGACACCGAGACACACACTGAGACACAGACACTGAGACACACACCGAGACACACACTGAGACACACACCGAGACACACACTGAGACACACACTGAGACACACACTGAGACAGGGACCCCCACAGGTCCTCTGTGCAGCCTGTCGGCAGCCTGTTGGCAGGCAGCGGCAGCGGCGGCGTTTTTGAACACCGCACCGGACGACACAGCCGAGTCGAGGCAGGCCCACCGGTGTGGGCGAGCGTGCCGAGTGTTGGAGGAGGCTGGCAAAGGCCGCCGCCGCCGCCGCCGGGCAAGCCGGAGGAAGCCGGAGCAAGCCGGAGCAAGCCGGAGGAAGCCGGAGCAAGCCGGAGGAAGCCGGAGCAAGCCGGAGCAAGCCGGATGAAGCCGGAGCAAGCCGGAGCAAGCCGGAGGAAGCCGGAGCAAGCCGGAGGAAGTCGGAGGAAGCCGGAGGAAGCCGGAGCAAGCCGGAGGAAGCCAGAGGAAGCCGGAGGAAGCCGGAGCAAGCCGGAGGAAGCCGGAGCAAGCCGGAGGAAGCCGGAGGAAGCCGGAGCAAGCTGGGCAAGCCGGAGGAAGCCGGAGCAAGCCGGAGCAAGCCGGATGAAGCCGGAGCAAGCCGGAGCAAGCCAGAGCAAGCCGGATGAAGCCGGAGCAAGCCGGAGCAAGCCGGATGAAGCCGGAGCAAGCCGGAGCAAGCCGGAGGAAGCCGGAGCAAGCCGGAGCAAGCCGGATGAAGCCGGAGCAAGCCGGAGCAAGCCGGAGCAAGCCGGATGAAGCCGGAGCAAGCCGGAGCAAGCCGGAGCAAGCCGGAGGAAGCCGGAGCAAGCCGGAGGAAGCCGGAGCAAGCCGGAGCAAGCCGGAGGAAGCCGGAGGAAGCCGGAGCAAGCCGGAGGAAGCCGGAGCAAGCCGGAGCAAGCCGGAGGAAGCCGGAGGAAGCCGCCCCTCCAGCGGAGGAGCGGCTCTCCGCTCGCGACGACGAGCGGAGCGCCGGGCGGATAAAACCGCGAGGCGAATTGGCGCAGCTGGTGGCCCGTCGGCTCGGCCGTCTCGGTCGGTCGGCCCCCGCGGCACCTGCAGGGTCCGTCCCCGTGGCCTCCTGCAGGGTCCGTCCCCGTGGCCTCCTGCAGGGTCCGTCCCCGTGGCCTCCTGCAGGGTCCGTCCCCGTGGCCTCCTGCAGGGTCCGTCCCCGTGGCCTCCTGCAGGGTCCGTCCCCGTGGCCTCCTGCAGGGTCCGTCCCCGTGGCCTCCTGCAGGGTCCGTCCCCGTGGCCTCCTGCAGGGTCCGTCCCCGTGGCCTCCTGCAGGGTCCGTCCCCGTGGCCTCCTGCAGGGTCCGTCCCCGTGGCCTCCTGCAGGGTCCGTCCCCGTGGCCTCCTGCAGGGTCCGTCCCCGTGGCCTCCTGCAGGGTCCGTCCCCGT